GAGTTAAAAAAAAAAAAAAAAAAAAAGCCATCCCTTGGTGCCATCCATAAAGAGTGCTGCAGAGCCCCCTGGTCCTCCATTTTCAGATTTCTTCGGTATTACCCCTTTCCTCCTTTCCACCCTTACCTTGTCCTGGCCTACTCACAGCCCTCTATAATAGCCTATGCTGCCTGCTGCCAGCTGGACTCAGAAGACAGGCCTCTTGCTGGTACCATTGTCTACTGTGTCCAACACCTCACCAGCCCCAGCCTCAACCACAGTGACATTGTCATGGTGAGTACTGCATGATGAATAACATTATGCATTGCATGCAAACAGGTTTTTTTGGGGGTGCTATCCACTTACCTTCCTATGAAGTGGAAGAACCCACTGAGGAATAGATGGTACATCAAGCTCTAGAAGCTGATTTGGCAGAGGTTAGTCAATCCTGTAGCCAATCTAGTCCCCTCACTCTACTCAGTTTGTTCTTAGGTCACAATACATGAACTGTTCCATGTTCTGGGTTTCTCTGGACAGCTCTTCAAGAAGTGGAAGGACTGCCGCTCAGGACCCAGTGGTGAGACGAATGAGGGAGGGCCATGCCACATCAATCAGAGGGAATCACTATCTCATGACCTCTTTCTTTCCTCACCTTTCCTGAAGTTTCCCTCTCCTCATATTGCCTCCTCCCATTTCTGTACTCAGTGAAAGAGAACTGTTCTACAAGGCAACAAGTGACAAGGCGAGATGAGTGGGGTCAGCTGCTTCTTACCACCCCAACTGTTAGCCACAGCCTGGCCAAACACTTGGGAGTACCAGGAGTTTCAATGGGTGCTCCATTGGAAGAAGAGGTGAAAACAAAAATATGTTGAGGTGTTTGGAAGAAAGAAGGGATTAAGCAGGTAGCAACCATCTGCTAACTCTTCCTGTAGGGCCCTTTGTCTTCACACTGGGAGGCACGACTACTCCAGGGCTCTATAATGACTGCTACCTTTGATGGTGCCCAGCGCACTCAACTTGACCCAATCACTCTTGCTGCCTTCAAAGACTCAGGCTGGTACCAAGTCAACCACAGTGCTGCACAAGAGCTGTTATGGGGCCAGGGTGAGAAATAAGGGAAGAGAATTGTAGAGGGATATTTATGATCCAAGTCAGATCAGCGGAAACTGGGGGAGGTTGGAAGGGATTCTCTGTTATTGGCTGCTAAGGTGTAATTGAAGCTGTAAGCATGGCTGGTGCTGAGTGATGTTCAGTACTTCATTTGCTCTGAAGACGCTAGCTCTCTCTTTTCCTATCTCAAGCAGGATCTGGCCCGGAATTTGGCCTACTGGCCACATGTGAAACTGATTCCTCAGACTTCTTCTGTACTGGCAGGTGTGTGTATTGAATTGTTCGGTGGCTATACAGCTTTCAGAGATACTAGTGTCACTCTACCATCTTTCCACACAGCAGGCTGGGCTGCCACTACTTGCACCTGGACAAGGGACACTGCTCCTCAGATCCCATGTTGGAAGGCTGCCGCATGTACAAGCCCTTAGTCAACAGGGTGAGGAGACTAGAGGGAGCAGAAAATGGAACTGAGTGGCCTGCAGAGTCAACTTCTAAGGCATCTGCACAAACTATTCTCCTACCTTCTGCCCTGCCCTTCAGAGTGAATGCTGGAGGAAGGATAATGGATTCCCACCTGGGACAGAAAATCCCCATGGGGAGATCTACCATTCGCAGAGTCGTTGCTTCCTTGCCAACCTCACTTCACAACTGCTCCCTGGAAACAAGACCACACATCCCTCTCAGATCCTGCACCTCAAGGAAGAGGAGCTCATGGGCCGCTGCTACTTACATCAATGCACAGGGAGGGGAGCATACAAAGTGCAGGTGGAAGGATCACCCTGGGTCTCATGCCTTCCAGGAAAGGCTATTCAGGTAGGTGCCTTATGTTTGAAAGCTGTAACACACTAGCAAAGAGAATTTGCAAATACTTACATGGTAACATGTCCAACCTGTTATGATGTTCATTCATTTTTCACTAAATATCAACTGAGTCTATGACTCTAATGTGGACTCTACATTTTCCTTAGGACCACTAGAGCAAGTAACTAAGGGAGGCTGTAACTATTTCATAGGAATTCTGGTGGCATTGTGGTTAACTGGGCTGCTAACCAAAGGGTCAGTGGTGCAAACCCATCAGCCACTCTGTGGGAGAATGATGAAGTAGTCTGGTTCTGTGAAGATTTACAGCTTTGGAAAACCTGTGGGGCAGTTTTGACTCTGCCCTGCACAGCTGCTGTCAGAATCAACTCAATGGCAGTGGGTTTGGTTTTTATAATCATACCATGTTATGTACCTCCTTGCAGATACCTGGGTACCATGGTCTTCTCTTCTGTCCCCGGGATCGGTTATGTCAGACTAATGAAGGGGTCAATTCTGTTACTTTCCCAACCGTGAGTCTTTCAACCCAAGCCTTGCTACTGCAGTTGTCTTTAGCATTAGCTGGGCCTCCAGGCCACTCCCTGGGGAATGAAGAGAGAGAAGAGCTGACCGAAGTAGTACTGCAAGCGCTGATGAGCAGAGGAAGCACTGGCAGGTAAAGAGATGGTTTGGGTTGAGTATACAAGTCATGGCAGATGTTTACTGTAAGCATTTAGTCTTTACTTTATAGCCCTCCTCTGAAGTCTGTTCATCTCCCTACTAAACCTTGCACCTGTTTCATGAGACATTCTCTTCCAGGGACTGTATCCTCATTAAGAGATTCAACTGTCCATTTAGGTGCTATTTCCACAGCCCGTCAATGACTGCTAGTCTGTTGTTTACTGTGCACATGTGGAAGTCCCCTGGATGCCAAGGGCCTTCAGTTTATATGCTGCATAAAGCCCTGACCCTTACTCTCCAGGAGAAGCCCCTAAAAATATATTATGGAGGTGTCAGCTTTACCACAGAATACAAGTAAGTTAAAAGCCAAAGTATTCAAAAAAAAAAAAACTGTTACCATGATTACTTCAGAGCATCACTGTGTCCCCAACCACTGCAATGATAGAGTTACCATCTCTAGGATGTAGGAACCCAAAGGTGCCCTTCCCTTCTTAAGTACTACCCAGGTATCTTCAGTTAACTAGTCACCAGTCTGACTCTTTCATTAAGCTATACATCTCACTGCCAAGTTAGGTCTCTTTTTCAAAAATTAAGTTGCTAGAAGACTTGGATTTTGATTGTATTCCTTTCAGGTTCCATACCCCTCTCATTAATTTCCTATTTAGATCAATACTTAGATGAAACAGCGTTTCATGAGTTCTATACACAAAGTTAAGGCCTTTGACCTCCTAAACCTAGGCACAATTTCAGGCCAATTACCTTTCATGTTTCTAGGTTGCTGGCTACCTTGGACCCTAATCACTTCATGACCCACATAGGTCTATCCATGGGACTTTGCATAATGCTGGTTACCCTGCTGTATACACTGGGAATCGTGGCCTATCAAAAACGAGCTACCCTTCAAGTGGGACCATCTGCCCCTTACCATTCACCAGAGCTACAAGGTACAAGGGGCCCTGCTGGAGGAATAAAGGAGGTATGATGAAACCAGAACATGACAGGATTTGGGTAGAGGATTATCTCTTGAGAGACTATATATAGTATCTAGACTTGAGTTTTACTTTCTCAGAATGCCTGTGCAGTGAATTGCTTGATGTGGCCCTTCTAGCCATTGTCCTCCATTCTGTGGTGTTTCGTAAATCCCATTATCCATGCCTGTTTGGGGTGGTGTGGTAGTTAAGGTCAGGTATCAACTTGGCTGGGCAGCTGGTAGTAGTCATTCCCTACAATGACTGGCAATCGACTCTGTGATGGGATTTAGGTTAATTCTGTTGGGACAACACAAATGGAATGTATCTTGAGTCCTGCCTTGCTGGAGGGTATAAAAAAAATCACCACCCTTAACTTCCCGGAGGGTTTTACCTACGAATCTCCTGGGAAGATTCGCTTGCCTCTTGCTCCAGCTTTGATCCTTGGCTTATCGTCATCTCACCCCTGGATTTGGGACAGCAGCCGCCGTCTGATCTGCTGATCGAGGTTCATCTAACCCCGAGAGTTGGGAGGATCCGCCAGACCTACTCACGGACCTGGGACTCGCCAGCCTGCCAGCCTCCACCACCACTACGTGAGACGAACCCTTGGGTGTCTGTGAGTTCTGTGAGGCGTTACAGCGAAATTCAGAACCCTAAGACTGGGGAAATTACTGGGAGGAGGAGGAGGGGTTAATGTCTGAGATGATGGAGTGGCATGGTAGTTTGGACATTTGGGACATCTTTGACCTCCGCCTCACAGGGACTAGCCTCGTGCTGATCTTTCTAAGAGAAATTGTTCAAGCAGCCTGTTTCCCACCTATCAACTTCATACTAATCCTGTAATGGAAAAACATAAGACTTATGGTTTTGAAAATCTGTTCTTTATTTTGGTATGAAAAATAAACTCTTCAACCTGTAAAGGGTATCACTTGTTTTCTTATTATTGTAGACCAAAGTTACAGAATAGAAACACCTACTACCAACTCCAAAGATATCACATATGCTTTGAAAAAAAAAGCCATTGTTATTTGGATTCAATGAAGGAGACAGTAACTACCCCACTCTCCTGATTTTCCAAAATTTTATTAAATTACCACTGGGAAAGCTACTGGTTGGGATGCCAGTTATTCCAGAAGGGCTCTACTTTATACTCCTCATGAGCCAGAAGTAGGTCAAATTTAAGTTATAATGCTTTGGTTCCTTTCGGTTATAGGTGCAAAAGAAGCTATCAAATTCTTGGGGGCTTGATTTGTCTTGGAAAGAAGCAAGCTAGGACGCAGATCTGCATTTGCTTAGGTGACAAACATTTGCACTAGGAGTTCAGCTGATGTGCTAAAATGATCAGTCAGCTGACCAGGTTACCATCTCCAGACCTTTGGATGGCACATCTGAATCGAGGTCTCACTGTAAATCTGTGGCCTCAACTCCGCCTGTGGTTGTTGTGATCTTTTTTAATGCTTATTAGTCCTTACCTGCTGTAGCAGCTACAGCTTGGTAAAACTTTGCCACGAAGTCTGGCTCACTGACCTCCAGCTGCCTGATAAATTCATTGCGCTCCTGCTCAGCCCAACCTCGAAACCACTGATCCCAAAGACGTAGCTGGCATTCAAAGATACAAGGCGGTCGGTTTGCTCCAGACATACTAAGCTGTTCCAGACCATCCAGTAGTGGCTGTAATTTTCCTGGGACTGCCTTAGTTACCAGGTCCTGTAGGAAACGTTCACGCTGGGGACCTGACCAACTTGCAAACCAGTGCAGAATACATTTCATCTCCTGGGATGTGATGTAAGACATTGGGGGAGGGGAAGAGTTAATAATATTCTCTGGCACCAAGGGCAAGGGTGAAGAGGATAGTGGTATAGATGATGATGATTCCAGTGGCATCCTGAAACATAAAAACACCGTTATAGCCTCTTTGGATAGAGCAACAAAAATACAACTTTCCAGCAATAAGAGCATATCGCACCCAATCAACATCTACAGAGAAAATTACTTTTTACCAATTCAATTCACAGGAAAATGGGGTCTTTTTTTAGATTATTGAAAAGTCACCCAATAATAACATTTCATATTTGCCAACCTTCCTCTCTCTTTTTCAAACCCATTACCCTCCCTAGCTACTGCCTTCTTCCATCTTTCCTACAGACCTTCTTATAAAGAATCCAATCAATGTATTTCCTGCTCATTCTTTTCCTCCTACTCTGTGTTCCAGACTGGGTAAAGCAAACAACAACAACAACAAAAAAACCCAACTGATTACCATTGGCTCAAGACATTATTCCTAAAACAAAAAAAGGTAAACATTTTTTAAATCTAGTTAATAAAGTTGGTCCAGGCCTATATGCTAATCATTCTGGAGCTATCAACAGTGTGTGTGTGTGTGTGGGGCAATCATGTATGACGAGCCTTCTCTGCTATGTGCACTGTTAGTGTTGTTAGCTGCCATTGAGTCAGTTATTGACTGATGGCAATTCCATGCAGAGGGAAATCAGACTGTTGTGATCCACAGGGTTTTCATTGGCTGATTTTTTGGAAGTAGATTGCCAGGCCTATCTTCTTAGTCCGGAAGCTCTGCTGAGACCTGGTCAGTATCATAGCAACACTTAAGCCTCCACTGTCAATAAGGGTGGCACCTGTGCTTCAAGCACATTGGCCAATGACCTCCTGTACAGAAGAGATTTCTACCACTGACCCACCACTGCCTTCCGCAAGGTGCGCAGTGCCTTTCAAATATAACACGAACTTCATAACATCCATTGTCTCCTTGTATTTCCTGTGAGGCAACAGGAAAAAAATTAAAAAGCAGAATGAGGGCCTCACCCAAAATAAACATGGTAAGAACTCCCTAATAAAACCAGAAAACCAGGTGTTTATTTAGGACTGTGAACAAGTCTAGTTGGTTTGGTGGCTTAGGGATGTGACAAGTGCTATACTGTTGTGTATGTATGACAACTAATGCCTTGGAACACTCTTTCTTAATGTTCAATACAATACCTACTGATGTTCTGTGACTGATTTTGTATCACTAATGCAATTGGAAGGCTAGCCAACACGAACAATTTTCAGGTCCCAAAGTTTGAATCTCTAACGAAAACCTGAAGTTACTTGTCTATGACTCACTTACTGTCTGTGTCTTCTGTTACAAACGTAATACTTTGCACTGCTAAGGAAGAAAATCCTAAACAATTAACAGCAGTACTAAACCAGTGCGTTTTTCAAGTGTCTCTACAAAAAGTTCCTAAAGGAACTTTATCCTCTTATTCAGCGAAAGGGCGAACTTTTTCAGTCTTGCCGCATGGCTTCCAGGGGAAAACTCATGTTCCTTGAAATCATCTACTACACAGTGAGTTTGAATCCCCAAATTAGTTAACTTGTCTCTCCTGCTTCCGCCTCTGCCTACCCTGCAGACTTCCGTGTAACTCCGCTTAGTTTGTTCTGTTGCAGAAATGTTTGGCCCTTCGAGGAGACAATGCTTATATTCGTCTTCGGTCTGCTAGTGTAAGGAGGGAAAATTTCAACTTTGGCTGAGAATCAAACACAGGGTCTAAAGACATGGTGCTGCCACTTAAATACATTACAGACAACGGGACTCAGCTTCCTGAGGCCCCAAAACAGCAACGTAGACTTAGATGGGAGTGGCGGAGGTTCAGATCCTGAGGGGATGAGGGTGGCGGAGGGAGGATTGCCCTACTAGTGGTAATCTGTCAACTCCCGAGTAAGACCCGGCCCAGGGAGGGTCGTCTACCCGGCTTACCTCCCCTCTCCTTTCAGAGGGCACCCGAAGACCGTCACAAGAGTCCCTGGCTTCCAACTATCGCCGCCGCTTCCATATTTCCTGAAAACGCTAAACAAGGGCCAGCTGGGCAGCCCACGCACTTCCGGTCCCGGACAAGCCCCAAACACCCAAGCGCCTCAGCGCCTCAGCCCTAAGCCCGGAGATAGCCGATTAACTCCGATTTTAGTTATGCCAGAATCGAGGGCTTCCGAATAGATTCGGTTCAAAGACTCGGTTAGACGAAGACAACCGAACTCTGAAAGCTGGGCGAAGGAGGGGAAAGCTACTGAGAGGATAGAAGGGACCGATTGGTGCCGATATGAAAACGTAAACACCCGAGCAGTTCCGGAGGAACCCGGGGAGTTCTGAGTGGTAATCGAGGGGTTGAATATGGCAGTGGGCGGGGTCAGCTGGGTACGTTCAAAGGGCGTTGGCGGAAATTACCGAAGATGCCCGAAGCCGTTGGGACGGGACCCGAGTACCTCACGCAAGATGGCGGAGCTGGAGGAGGTGACTCTGGACGGGAAGCCTCTTCAGGCGTTGCGGGTGACCGACCTGAAGGCCGCACTGGAGCAGCGAGGCCTAGCCAAGAGCGGGCAGAAGAGTGCCCTGGTCAAGCGGCTCAAAGGGGTGAGGAGACGGCGCTGCCGGGGTGTCGGAGGGGAGCGGACCCGGTAGAGACGAGTCTCGCCGCGGCGCAGGCGCAGTGTCCGGGTTCGGCGCGAGCTCGCTCAGGCCGCCAGCGCGAGCCTCGAGATCCACGCGCACGGTGGTTAGCGCGGCTCGCGCTGGAATAGAGATCGCGCCGGTTCCCGCCTTAACGGCAGCAGCGCGAGCCCAAAATGGGAGGGTGCGCGCTACTCTCCCGGAGTGTCTTAACCTCCTTCCCCCACCCCCTCCTTGTTTGTGTCTGTGGTTTCGGCGCATGCGCTGCAGAAGGAGTTAAATCCCACTACAACCACCGGCGTTGTTGGCCTGAGGGGGGCGAATTGGGCTGGGTCGGAGTTAGGGGTAGAGTTGGGCGGAGGGTAGAGGGTGTTGGTATCGATATCCGGAAGAATAAGATTGGGGTAGAGTAAAATGTCTGCTTGATTAAATTAGGTGAGATGAAGAGAAACCTTCATTTGAAGGGACTTTTTAAAGAGTGTTTTATAATTTATAGGGGATCCAGAAGCAATTTGAGTGTATAAGATTTTGGTGAATATTAGTGAGAAAGATGCAGTTTGGTATATGTTGGGGGTTTTGAATCGGCTTGTGTAGATTAGGGTGGGGTTGTCATAAGGTAGATGGATTGGCGTGTGTAAATTTGGTGTAAACTAAGGGAAGATGGGACTCTCTTAGTTTTAATTAGGATACATAGCAGATAGTACAGATTAGGGCTAGACTGGCTCAAGGTTTGAGCTGGCAGACCCTTGCTTATAGAGGCTGGCGAGTTTTTGTTTGCTTTCCTTTTGGGGTGGGGGATTGAGTGAGACCACAGTTTGCAGGGTCTGTGATTAGTTGGTCTATAGCTGCCTCTGAAATTTTTATAATTCGATAAATATAGGTATCACTCTGCTGGAAATTATAGATTCACTCCAGTGACTGTTTGACCACGTAATTTAATCAGACCAAAGCCAGCATCTCCATGTTGATTTCGTGTCTTTGAAGCTGGTTTAAGTATTTGAAGTGATTTTACCTGCCAACATTTAGAAAGGGCCTAGTCAAAAGTGCAGAAGATTCAGGGATTCTGGTACTGATTCTGTCACTGATTTTATGACATAGATTGCTGATTCTCTGTGGGAGGAGTAACCTTAGCTACCTTTAAGGGTCTTCTGAAAATGAGTGAGAACAATGTTAGTAAAGGGCTTTGAGGTCACTGGAAAAGGAGTACAGTTTAAGTGTGTATGGTTAGTCATTGCATTTGATGATGAGGTTGGGGGAGAAACGGTTTGGTTTTTTGTTTTTTTCCCCTAGTTCCTGACATTTGCCCTTTTCTATACCAGGCTTTAATGCTAGAGAATTTACAGAAACACTCAACACCCCATGCTGCATTCCAGCCAAATTCCCAGGTAAGGAAGAAGGTTTGTTAGGTGGGGTGAGCTATTTGGATCTCCAGACACACAGAAAGACATGCTGTTCTATGTTTGATGTTTAATTCCTTACCAATAATGTCCTTGGTTCCCTTGATTTGAAATGTTCTCATTATAGAACAGTTGAATTTCAGTCAAGCCCATTTGTGTACATGGAGAAAAGAACAGAATCAGAGGAGCTGTTATTTTCTGAGACTTGAAATGATGTATACAGAAAGGTGTGTCCCTAATTGATTAAGTGTAATACAGGATCTGAAGTCATTTATTTGCCATTGATTTGGGAAAAGTAGTTAATATTTTGAATGTAGATTTGAAGTATACAGTCAATAGGACAGTATGGAGCAATCTTGTTAATAAAGAAGAAATCTTTTCTAGTCATAAGTTTTCTAAGAATTACACCCTTTGTATATCACCCCCCCCCCCTTGCTATGGGGCGATTGTACTCTGTTAAAGAGTCACTATGAGATTGCAGTGGGTTTACTGGTGTTAACTACTAACTATGCAATTACTGTTAAATGTCACTATTTAGCTCCGTTACTTACTGAAAGAAACTTAACCTTTGGAAACCTGTTTTCCTTATCTATAATCTGAGAAAGGGTTGGATCCCTAATTTTGTAACTGCTCTGGCTCAGTTTTATGGAGTTGTGTAGGGGGCTTCCTTTTCCCAGGTGAGCAGGTTTCATGCTCTCCTGTCAACCTTTAGTTCCTTTAATTGCTTTATATGGTGGATTTCTGAATAAGATTTCTTTTAAAGAAATCAGTCCACGGTGTAAAAAAGAAAAAGACTGAATGACCTCTTCAGGTTCCTTTCAGCTTTTAAAAGCCCCTCATTCATAGTGTGTCAAGCACTTAAAGAAAAAATCCAAGTCTTTGTTAGTACAATGGTGTGCAGCTCCAGTACTAGATGAAGTCCCAGGATACTGTGGAAAAAACAAGAGAGGCCTTCCTACTCCCTTGATATCGTCTTATTAAACCGTGAGTATTATAATCTAGCCGGTTAACAGAGGTTTAGCTAACTACTTTAGTAAGTATAAGATACTGCATTAATCAGTTTGTTATTGTTAATCAATTTTGCCTGTTGCAATTTAGTTTTTGCAATTTTGCTTTTATTAACACAGGATCTCTGAAATAAGGATATTGATTCTTTAATACATGCACCACACTCTATGGATGTCTGTTAAGTACTAAATATTTCTGTACCTTTGGTTCGCTTTGTTTAGAAAAGATGACCAGTAACATAGAAAGTATTGATTCAGCTGTTTTCCTTTTTATGGAGTTCTAATAGAAATTGCTAAGCAAGAAGGTTCTTAGTTGAAGAGAAAGCTAAGGGCAGAAAAGTAATGTGGGAGTCTATATTGCAGATAATGGGAAAAGGGATAAGCCACTGGATTTTAAATATTGTTATCAAGGATTTCCTCTTACCCAAAGACAGTGAAATTACAAATCCTACTGAATGCTGAATGGATAACCCTTTTCTTAGTCTCTTAATTTTGTACTTTAAAGTTCTGTACCTGAATTTTGGAAATGTCAACTCTAAAATTATTGATAAAGTGTCCCCTATGTATTAATCTTTTGGGAGAATGTGGTTTTTTTCCCCTTTCGGTTTTGATATTGTTCAAAGAAGAATTTAGATTATCTTTAATTAAAAGGCATAATTAAAGGAAGTTTTATTTCTTTTGAAGATGTTTATGTACCAACTTCACTCTTTGGTTGGGAACTGAATATTTAAAATAAAAAGTTATGTACAGTTTCTCTTTTTGCCATCTTTTGTGAATCATGAAACTCAACTGCCATCAAGTTGAATCCGAGTCATAGCAGGCCCTCCTTGGGTTTCTGAGGCAGTATCTCTATGGAAGTAGATTGCCCAGTCTTCCTTCCAAGCAGTGGTTGATGAGTTTGAACCACCATCCTTCTAGTTAGCAGTCAAATGCCTTAGGCACTATGCCACCAGAGCTCCTGTGCGAGTTGTAGGATGACTTATTTTGATCCTTAATAGAAGAGTAGCTTAGAAAAGGACCTTCTAACATTTTCATCATCTTTCTTAGGTTCAAATATAAGGGTGGGCCTTTGCTGGATGGAATTTTCTGACCTGCATATTTTCCTGGTTTGCTTTCTCAGATTTTGTTTTTCTATTCCCTCCACATAGATTGGTGAGGAAATGAGCCAGAACAGTTTCATAAAGCAGTATCTGGAAAAGCAGCAGGAGCTGCTTAGGCAGCGTCTGGAACGTGAAGCTCGAGAAGCTGCAGAACTTGAAGGTAAGCTCAGACTGTCAGTTCTTACAAGAAGTTCTTCATTCTTATCCCTGTCTTCAGGTAGATGGGCTTGTCTAATGAGGCAATCTCAGGAATAAGTCAGGCTAAGACTGCTGTTTATTTGCTTTGGTAGTTTATGACCCAAATGAGTTACTGTTTACCTTTTGTCAGGAAAGAAGATACTTAATTTAACTGTCTTGTTAGAAGAGGATTCTTGCCAACAGGAAGAGTTATAAGTAAATTAAGCTGCTGTCTAGATGAGGTAGAGCTTAATCTTAGGGAGTTCTTTTCTTGTGTGTACAGTCCTCTTTTTGGTATATATATCTTTTTATCCATTACTTTGCCTGACTTCCTTCACTCCTCTACATAGTCCCACATGCTGAGCCCTTCACTCCCTCCCTGCCCCGACCCAATCTGTACTTTGCAGAAGCTTCAGCTGAGTCGGAGGACGAGATGATCCATCCTGAGGGAGTGGCTTCCCTGCTGCCTCCTGACTTTCAGAGCAGCCTGGAGAGACCAGAGCTGGAGCTCAGCAGACATTCACCCCGTACGTATCTCCCTCCCCACTGCGCTTTTTGTCATTCTTGCGTAGTTGGTGGGGGGAGGTAGTTATGCCTCCTTTCATGCTAGGCCTCATGAAAGTCACAGGGAAATTCTGTGATAATGATGTTTGGCACCTGTTTTTCGTGGAAATTGTCCTTTTTAAAGCCTGATTATACCTATGTGTTACGTAACTTCTCACTGTGTTTTATGAGACAGTGGGGATTTTTTTTTTCCCTTCTCATCTGTACTACTTTAGGTTTCTCTGACTCTGAATTTGGAAACAGTCACAATTCTCTTCACCAATTGTATAACGTGTTACACGTGCAATCCTACAAAATGGGCATCTATCTCATTTTATTAGTTCATTCAACTGTTGTATGCAAGGCACCAGGAATACAGTAAAGATAAGCAAGTTCTACCCTAATGAAACTTAGTCTTTTGAAGAGATCGATGTTAAACAAACCAGTTTGGTGATTATTTACACTTATCCTCAGTAGTATGAGAGCGTATTACAGGGAGCTCTAATCTGGTGTGTGGTTGTTTTGGGCAAGATTAATTTTTCCACATATTACTAAGCACCTTGTTTTGTGTAGTATCTCAAGCAAAAATCTGAAAATGCAGCCTTTGGCTTCTAGGAAGTACCTAAGACAGTATACTTTCATATGCACCTAAGACATGTGCACAACAGGCAAATATTTTAAACCAATGTGTGAATTGGTAAGTACAGTAAAACCTGTGATAGCCACAACTTGATGGGACTGCCTTGTTTTTCCACGTCTTGCAAGTTTTCCACCTTTGACTTTTCTGTCACTGATTTTAGTGGAAAATAAATATTTGAGTTTTCCTTCTCTGACAGGTTTCCACCTTACACAGGTTCAGGTTTTTGCAGGTTTTACTGTATTTTTAATTGTTATATACGTTAGTGGTGTTGGAGGGGTCGCTCCATAGTTAATACTTTTAAAATGTATGAAAGTTGCCAGCCCTTCTGAGTAATAAAGAATTCTTTCACAGAAATAGATTTTTAGGTGATATTTAATGATGAAAAAGAAATTTCATGAAAGGCTAGAGAAAATGGAGGATTTTTGAAGCTAATTTTAAGATCCTAGGCTGCTCAGTGCATATTATTCTTGATGCCAGTCATAGACCTGGGAGCTTTGGTAGCATAGTGCCTAAGGCACTTGACTGCTAACCAGAAGGCTGGCAGTTCAAACCCACCAGCCACTCCTCGGAAGGAAGGTTGAACAATCTACTTCCATAGTGATACTGCCTTGGAAAGCCAAGGAGGGGTCGCTGAGTCGGGTCTGACTTGATGGCACATAACAACAACAGTCTTAGATCTAAAGGGAAATTTTTAGAAGCTTTTTAACAAATTAATGCTATCAAACACTTTGGAATTATTAATAAGTTCTTTTAGATACCTTTTTTCCTTTCGGGCAGATTATTGTGATTTACTGTGGTTTATTATGGTAATGAAAGTTTATCATTTCAAACTTACTACTGATGCCATGGAAGAAAGACTTGGCTGTTAGCTTTCATAAATATTATAGCCAGGAAAACCATATGGAATTCATTTCTCCATTGTACCACATGGGGTTGCCATATGTCAGCATCAGCTTGACAGCAACGGGTTTGGTTTTTGGTTTCTCCTCAAACATAAGGTTGGTAGACCCTTAGTTGATCCACTTTGCTGTTAGCATTCCTTTTTCTGAAGCCAAGAATAGTAGAAAAGCTCTTTTATATATAAACTGTTGGGGGGTTTTTTCTTAAAGAAGTAAAAGTTGAAAATATTTATTGATTTTTGCAGTACGTGTATCACTATGCTGTGTATGTGGGAAGTTAGCTCTATACCTTGTAAAGGATATTAGGGAGAGAGAAGACAATTGTACATAAAACTAACAATAGAAGGCACAGTAGAGTGCATTTGTGATTAACCCTTTGCCATAGAGTCAGTTCTAACTCATAACGAACCAATAGGACAGAGTAGAACTGCCCCATAGAGTTTCCAAAGCTGTAATTTTTACAGAAGCAGACTGCCATATCTTTCTCCTGTAGAGCAACTGGTGGGTTTAAACCGCCAACTTTGAGGTTAGCAGCTGAATGCTTAATGACTGCATCACCAGGGCTCCATTTAGTATGTGATTGCATTACATAAATGGCAAGGACATATACCATAGTAATTTGAAAGAGTGGAAGATCCCTCAAAACTAGTGATTAGAGAGAGCCTCATGAAAGAAGGATTTGAGCTGAGACTTAGAAACAAGTAGCATTTGAATTAGAGAGGATAGAATTTTTTTTTCTTTTTTTTTTTGAGGAAAGAGCAAAGACATAAATATAGGAGTGAATATGATAGTTTGGAAGTATACAGTAGTCTAGCAAGAATAAAGTATTCTTGCAGAGGGCTTTGAAACCCAAGCCAATTAGTTGAGTTTCTTTATTCTGTAGGTTATAGGGGAACCATTGAAAATTCTTGCTAAGGACGTCTTGATAAACCTCTTTTTAAAAAGAATGATGCTCTCAGTTATAAATGTAATTTGAAATGAAAGTAAGGAATGGATCCTGAAATAGAAACAATGTTTCAAAAGCTAATAAGGTCATAAAAAAGACCAGGCTTACTGATCTGATAGAGACTGGTGGAACCCCTGAGACAGTTCAAACCCTTAGGTACCCTTCAAGCCGGGACCTGAATTCAGCCTGTTTGGCTCAGTTTCAGCTAAATGACAGGCCTACAAGGTGAACAGTAATATTAAGAAGGTATGTACTCATTAGGACAATTGACCACATGAGAGATGAAAAGGGTAGCATTTACCCAAAGATAAAGCTTAGAAGGCAGGAAGGGATAGGAAAGAAGGACAGAGGGAAATAGTATACATATGGAGGAAGTAGAAATGCTGTTACATTGTGGGGATTGCAATGAATACTGTGGAACAAAATGTGTGTGAATTGTTGAATGGAAAAGCAATTTGCTTTGTAAACTTGCACCCAAGTTACTATTTGGAAAAAAGTAAAAGCTAATAAAGCTTTAGAGTGAGGGAATGCATTCTCTTCAGTGCTTTGTCTCCACTGGAACTCCACCCATGGCTATAATTGACAAGGGAAAAAAAGAAAAGTGGAAAAATGTATCAGGAGAATTGAATAAACGTACTGAATTGTTGGAATACATGTAACAATTGCCTTAAATGCTTTTCAGTGTACTCTTTGTTTGTGTCACAAACTTTTCTATCATCTTGGCTGGAATATGAATCTCATTATCAATCTGGTACATTTGGTCAAGATCCTAAATGGAGCAGTAGTTTGAAGTTCTAACAGAGCTCAGTTGGGTTAGCATTGATGCCTAGTGTCTAATAGGAAATTAGCTTTGCTCAAGTGTGTAATGTCTGTCTGCCATAGGCAAATAAATTGTTTTAGTGGTAGCTTATATGTTGGTTTTGGATGCCCTTGTTTCTTTCTTTACTAACAAGATTTAAATTAAAAGTAAGGTTCCTAGTAACATTTTACTGATCATCAGTGGCACCTGAGTTTGTTGTTTTAAGTAGTAGGATGTTTGGTTTCGTGTCTCTCCAACACCTTATTCAGATTTTTTTAAGATGTTGGGAGCCAGTTAACCGCCCCATAGTAGAAGGTTGTCTAGATTCTCTGGTGCACAAAAATTTTAACTACCTTTATTTTTAGTTAGTCTTTCACAGAGACCCCCATGTAGGAAAATTAGATGGTACTAAATGTTAAAAAGGGATAAATATTCAGAATACAGGTTCTTTAACGTACATGTAGCCACAGGTGATCTTAGCCAGCCCTTGGCTTACAAAGCATGTAGCCTTCCTTTTTTTTTCCCCCATAGCAAACTTGCATGCTGAGATTCTAGAGCAGTGCTAGTTAAATTAATTGTATAGTTATCTTTAGTCAGATTTAAGTTTGGCATCATTGCCAGATCCCAGTTTATTTCTCACCCAAGGATACACTCTGGCCACAGGCTTTGCTATGATTGCTGTTGCTGTATGCCATTGAATCTATTCTGACTCCTAGCACCCTTATGATCTCTAGCTACCCTTACTTGGGGCCTACAAATCCTGTCCAGGTTCCTGTTTTTAAGGCTGAAGAAACTATTTTCATATATGACCCTTAAACATTCCTCACTTTACTGCATTCTGTGCTGTCTAGCAGCTACCTTTTCCCTCTAGAAGACTTCTGGCTCTGGAATCTTGGGAATCTTATGTTAACCCTGACTTGTTCGGTTCCTGAAATATATTTATTAGCCCATTCATTGTTTGTATTGGTTCTACCCTTTGCTGAAGCTCAGTTATTCACACATTATTAACATCTGGCTTAAAATGTTCTTGTGGCCATGCACTCATAATAATAGACGTCTGCTTTCCCAGGAGCTTGTCTTCATCACTTCAGCTACTTCCAGGGAGCTAGAAAGAGATCCATTATCTCTTCCTTATATTACTTACTAAGTTCTTGTTTCCTGTCTGAAGATCTCCTCCAATTTTCAACTTCTTTTTTTTTTTTAAATCCAAAACAGTGAAAAATCACAGCTTTCTGAACAGCCTGCCCATTTCCCCAGATCTCCTTGATGACTTATTACTCAAATGCTTCTAGAGGAGTAATCATCTAGGATCCCGTCACTGTACTTTTACAGTATGGAAATAACTTTATAATCTAATAAATGGCCCACAGTTTGTTATAGATTGGAAAAAGACGCTAATTGCTTGTACATACCTAATTTTAAAATCTCAGCTCTAAAGCTCTTACTTGACCTTAACACATTAGTTTCTGGCCAACCTTGTGCATGCCTTTTTTCTTTTTCTTTTTTCCTGAACTAAGATAAATCAGCTTCTTTCCCTTATATTTGCAAAGGAACTTTGCCTAAAATTCATGAAAAATACCTTCTTGGTTAGGTTAATTTCATCATTTAACCTATTCCAGGTCATTAAATTATGAAGTTATTGTTATTATAGCCACCACACTACGGATCTCTTATATATTCTTCAAATGTTTACTAAGAGTCTAACCATAGCTCCTATACATACACACACCCCCATAGTGAGATTGACTTTATTTATTGACCCATATGTAAAACAGTATACCGTCAGAGATCTTGTTAGTCAAGTGATCATTGAGCAAAGTTTTACAAAATATGTGTAGTTTTCTGGTTTATATTATTATAATAGGAAGGGAGGGAGAAGACCTTGAGCTACAGTTCATCATCTCCTTTATTTGAACAGTTTAAATGCTATCATTAGTATAGAACATGATTTTGTAGATCATTGAAATCCATTGTCCTGTATTAAAATGGTACTTAATCTAACAGTATCTGCAATATGATTATCTTCAGGCTGTTTTCTAAATTTGTTCTCATCAGTATTTGCATTGCTACTTTAAGTAATATTTTAATACTGTCAGGAAACATAGACATTTTCTAATCTAACCCCAAGGAGTTCTGGTGGCACAGTGCCTAAGGCCATTTGACTGCTAACCAGAATGTTGGTGGTTCAAACCCACCAGCCACTCCATGGAAGGAAGACTGGGCAGTCTGCTTCCGTAGAGATACTGCCTTAGAAATCCAATGTGGGTCGCTATGAGTCGGAATCAACTCGATGGCATTTTTTTTTTTTTTTTTCCCCCTAACCCTACCCTCCCACCCCACTCTTCTCAGTCAGAACATTGAGGTCCAAATTAGTTAAGTGATTTACCACATAACCATCTTCCTTCATGGAATATGAGTGAAAACTTTTTTTCCAGTTTTACATGGATTTATTGATCAGGATAGCCTAGATTGGTGATTTTCAAACTTTCTTTTAATAGTAGAACTCTTCCCCCTGCCTTAAACAAGAAAATCTTGAATTCTAATATATAAAACATAATTGACAGGACCCAGCCCTGGAATCGCATCTAATTGGTTTGATGTAATTTCTAGGAATTTTAGGGCCCTACCACTGATCTTGGTATTTAGTTCATGAATTATAGTTTTATAAGCTGATTTGTATATTAATCACAATATTTTGATCAAAACTAGCAAGTCATAGCAATAAACAAAAAAAAAGGTGGACACAGAACTTAGTGGAGTCTTGAGCTATGATACAGAATAATGAACACTTTATAGAAGTAAGTACATTTGTATTTCTACATCTTTGCTAAATAGTATGAAACCTCTGGGAGTTATTTTACATTTATTTTATATATACATTTATAGTCTGTGAATTGATTTTAAGGTATGGAAATATTCCAGATGTGTACAGCAGTAAGACTGTAACCTTAGAGCCTCATGTAGTCTTTTTATTTCAGCATAGAAGTCAAAGAAACTGATATAGATAGGTATTGACCAGCTCATATGCTATGATTAAGTTTTAGACAACAGCCATGACTGAGCGTTCATATCATGATTCTGAACTGCTTTTCTTTCATTTGATAGGAAAGAGCTCCTCTGTTTCTGAAGAAAAAGGTGAATCTGATGATGACAGACCAAGGAAAGGAGAAAGACGATCATCTAGAGTCAGACAGGTAACTGAGATAACTTCTAAAGCATCCGTCCTTCTTTAGGTAATGCTTTGGGTATCTCTTGCCTAACTGCAATAAGGGGCCAGTCTCCTTCCTCCTTCCTGGCCATGGCCTGTAGGCATGCAGCCATAAAGCACCTGTTCTGGATTCCCAGCCCTTAACGCAGCCTGAGACTGCAGCTCACAATTGCTGTGGGGTAGGGAGTGAGGAAAAAAAGAGGCTTCAGAGAGGATGTTTGCAAGAAGTATGTGAGGGTTTAATGACACCCCAAAGTGAGCACAACTGGGCCTGAAGCCTCTGCCTCAGTAGGGCCATGTGCTCAGCCAGGCTCCCAGCACCCTTACAGGAAGTCCCAAGCTTGCCTGGAGGGTGCAGCAGGATCCAGAATCGGGTACAGAGCAGGGCTTGCAGGGGTAGGAGTGGAACCCTGGAGAAGGCTTCATAAGGGAAGCTCTGACCCAGCACTGGAGGAAGGTAAAGTGGTTAAGCCATGGGCCTTCCAGTCACATAGCTCTGTTTTATCCAGCTTTGTCTCTTCCTCTGCAGAGGAATAATCCATAACTGGACTATCACAGTGATCAGCACATCAGTAAATCTTGGCTTTCATTATTTCTATGATCATATATTCTAAATAAAATCAGATGGATGGTCTGGAAACAGGAAAAAAAAAAATCCTCTGTTTTTGCATAATGCCAATTTTTCCATAACAACCTGGTCTCTAGAATCAAACCATGTTGACAAGTGAGGGGTGGGTGTATTTTTATTCCTCTAAGAGTCCATATTAATCATGGTTGCCTACTTTCATACCTGTTTCTGTGTTGCTGAGAGTACATATCATTGAATTTCTCCTTCCTAGGTGTGTCTTGTGAGATTTTTTTCTTCTGATGATGATTGTGAGCCAATATTTGGAGCCATTGTATGTCTTTTATTTCAGGCAAGAGCAGCTAAACTCTCTGAATGCAGCCAGGCTGCTGAGGAGGAAGAGGATCAAGAAGCACCTTCCAGAAATCTAAGGGTTAGAGCAGATCGAAATTTGAAAACAGAGGAAGAAGAGGAGGAGGAAGAATTATTTTTCTCCTTTGAGGAGGAGGAAGAGGAAAATGAGGGACAAAAATCAAGAGAGGCACCAATCCTAAAACAATTTGAGAAAGAAGAAGAGGAGGAGGAGATGTCCAGAGAAAAACCAGAGGAAGTGATGGATGAGCGACCCAAAACCGTAAGATCCCAGGAACAGGAAGGGTTAGAAAGAGGAGGGAGAGTGACAAGGTCCCAGGAAGAGGCTAGAAGAAGTCATCTGGCCAGGCATCAGCAAGAGAAAGAGATGAAAGCAGCTCTCCTTGAAGAGAAAGAAAGAGAAATAAAATCTTTGAAAGGCTTAGAGGAAAAATCAAAGTCCCCTTCCCCTCCTCAGTTGACTGAAGATCTGGAGAAGATCCCTCTTGTGCTACAACCAGAACAAACTGCCAGTGAGGAGGAGACTCTCCCACCTTTACTTACCAAGGAAGCGTCTTCCCCACCACCTGATACACAACTCCGGAGTGAAGAAGAAGTAGAGCCCATGGAAGGCCCAGCACCCCCTGTTCTCGTTCAGTTATCTCCTCATACAGATACTGAAGCCAAGGAGCTATTAATATCTCAGCATACTGTCCAGTTGGTGGGATGTCTGTCCCCTTTGTCAAGTCCTGCAGACACCAAAGTAGAATCTCCTGCAGAAAAAGTGCCAGAGGAGAGTATCCTGGCTCTAGTTCAGAAAAACACACTGGCTGAATCCTCAGTACAGAAGGGTCTTGAAACTGAGTCAGAAAAATCTGCTCAATTACTGACTCTAAAAATAGAAGAATTAGCACCAGCCAAAGGGATCACTGAGGAATCTCTGAAACAGCCCTCTTTGGAACAAAAGGAAGGCAAAAGAGCTTCTCATACTCTTCTCCCAAGCCACAGGTTGAAACAGTCAGCTGACTCTTCATCCTCTAGCCGGTCTTCCTCATCTTCATCCTCCAGTTCTAGATCAAGATCTCATTCTCCTGACAGCTCAGGCTCTCGATCTCACTCACCCCCAAGGTCCAAGCAGAGAGATGGATCCTGGGCATGTTCTCACCCCAACCCTTGTAGTAGACCCAAGATGGGCTCCAGATCAACATCAGAGTCCAGGTCACGTTCCCGTTCACGTTCCCGTTCACGTTCCCGTTCAGCATCAAGCAACAGCAGAAAAGTGAGTATTGGCAAAATCCTAGGTGCATTGATGTCTGTACTCTAGGGTTTCTTAATCCCCAGGAGAACCAATCATAATTTCTGACAGGACTGGGAAAAGCCATTTTTTAGTTCTAGTTCTGATCATTTCTCCCTCATTTCAGAATCTTTTCACTGATTTCTATGTGGGGTCCTTGTTCATTCTATGTCCAAAGAAAGAATTCATCTACCAATTTCCACTGGACATGTCTTGTTACAGTGCCAGCCACACCTTTTTTGGGACTTACTAAATATTTCTGTGATAATCTAGGAGGTAGCCAGGGAGATTGGTAACTCAAACAGGAATAGACATAGGGATGAAAGATCCAAAGTGTTAAACTGAGTCAGTGAAAGTTGGAAAATTCCATGATCTACTGAATTTTTACCATATAAGATAATTTACCATATGATACTTGATTTCATTTCTTTAGTCTCTAAGCCCTAGAGTCTCCAGGGACAGCAGCACCAGCTACACTGAAACCAAAGATCCCTCTTCTGGTCAGGAGGTTGCAACTCCACCAGTGCCACAACTGCAGGTCCTTGAGCCAAAGGAGAGGACTAACATCTCCTCGTCCTCTATCCAAGTGAGGCATATGAGCCAACCTGAGCCAGCTGAAAAGCGTGTGACCCAGAGGTTACAACCTGAGCGGGTAGGCTATTAATGCCTTTTTCCTCCTCACACACCCCGGACATGGAGGATTAGGCATGATTTTCCATTTTGTCTTAGCTATAAAACTGAAAAGTTGGTCTGGACAAAGTTCAGTAGAAATGTAGAAGGTTGGAGATAACCTGTTAGATCCCATTTAACTAATTTCCAACTCCCTGGTTTATGAAAGTTCTACTTGATGCTGAGCATCAGAGTTCTCATCTCCAGGGTCTTCGTGTCAGTTCTTCCTTAGGACTCCATTTTTTCTCCCTTTTCTCAAAAAGAATTGAGTTCTGATCAAATGATTGCTGGTGTGGGAATTCTTGAAGATCCTGTCTTTAAACCGTATTTCATCCCGTTTTACTTGCTAAAAAGAAATAAGATATACAGAGTTGTGTATGGAGCTGGTACTCTCTATGTCCTGCCCTGCCTTTTTCAAGCTCCAGAATAAAGAAAAGGAAACCAATCAGATTTAACTACTTTGCTATGTTTGTTTTTGCCAACTCCTAACAGGGGAGCCCAAAGAAGTGTGAAGCTGAAGAGGCAGAGCCACCAACTGCCACACAGCCCCAAACCTCAGAGACTCAGACCTCTCAGCAACCAGAATCAGAAAGGATTCAGCACACTGTGTAAGTGGCTTATCTTGACTGGGGTATAACAAGGAACTAGGAGTGTGGGATAGTTCTTTGCTCCCTAGGGTTCTTTTAGTAAGCAATCCTAGCTTCCTTTTAAAACACTGAGGCAGAGCTTTATCTGGATAAAAGTTTAAACCTCTGTTACCATGTTGGGAGCAGCCGCCAGAAACTTGTAAGGTATAGATGGAAAAGTGGTGGTGGGGACATGAGGAAATCCACATCTGGGATCATCTGACCCAGAAGGCATAGCCTTCTGCTTCCAAACTCAGTGTAAGGGAATTGGCTCAGAGCATCAGAGCTTAATCTTTAACTCATTTATCAGTTTTTTTCTGAGCCTGAGAAAGCAGTTTAATAAAGGATATTGACAAGTTAGGAGCTCTGGTGGTACAGTGGTTAAGGCATTCAGCTACTGACCAAAAGGTAGGTGGTTCGAACCTACAGGTTGCTCACTCTGCTGGAGAAAGATGAGGCATTCTGCTTCTGAAAAGATTTTACAGCCTTGGAAATCCTGTGGAGCAGTTCTGCTCTACCATAAAGAGTTGCTATGAGTTGGAATCAACAGTGGCATTTGGTTTGAGCTTTTGGTATCCTAGTTAGCTCCTATAGCATTTAGTACAGCAGATTACATGGTCCATATTAAGTCAGAAGTTTATTCCTGGGCCCCTAAGATCCTTCGATTGTTCTTACTGTCTTTGTAATTAATGTGAGTTTTTTAATCTTTATTTTCACTCTTAGAAAAGTACTTCTGTATTAGGTTAAATTTGTACTTGAACAAGTGTGTCATTCATTATTCTGAGCTAGCTATTACAAACTAAGAAGCCATTGAGCCAAAATTACTGACTTCAAGGTCTCCTAATGAGGTTTCCCATGAGAAATGAGAAAGTGAAGCATTGTGGAAATAAGGTAGCTTAGCTTTTAGACCTTAGGAATCCTGAACTCTTTTGGAGAATATCCTCTGTTGACAATTGGGTCAAAGTTTTCCCTACTTGTTTTCATGTCATTTTAACACTAATAATATCAGTGTATTCTCTATGTATAATAGTCTAATAATTTACACTCTCCTGGAATCTTTAGACTGTCTTGACCCTGATTTTTGGAGGGCAGGTGATATGATTTGTTACCTCATTCCTCTGTGTTTTTAATGATAGTTTTACATTCTTTATTATAGCTTTTGCCCTGGAATATACCCTTAACCACTGTCTGTTCTAAAATTCTTGCCTCTGCTGCCATCTTGTGGCCATTTTATTTTTTGTTTTAAAGCTAAACATTCACTCCATGTCCTTTGAAAAGTTTTTATTTTTCCCTTTTGGGGGTGGGTACCTTATTCTTTGGAGATGGGCTTTTCTTCTAGGAGCATAAAGTGAAAACTCACCGGATTCTGGAAGGTGTTCAGGATTCCCCAGCTACACCATCGATGAGGAAATGGGGTATCATCTTCCATATGCATCAACCAGAGATAATACCTGCCCTCTCCTCCTTTCTCCATCCCATGGGAATACAGCATGCCCTTGTATAATCTCAGTGTCAAAGTGGGTATTGATAACCTGATGCTAATTGGGCCTGAGAAACTGCCTCCTATATACCTTGAGAAACAAGTAATTTTCTAAAAAGCCCTTCCTAGCCCTAAAATTCTGTGAGCCTATGAGATCCTATCAACAGAAAAGCTCTTAATGCTACTTTGAAACTATTTTATTTCTGGACTTTCTGATATAAGTCCAAAGCAAATGAAGCTTGGAGTCCTATACAGTCATGCATTGCTTAACATCCATGATACATTCTCTGAAATAGGACGTTTCATGATTTGGATGTTGTGCAAACACCATGTTAATATACAGGCAGTCCCCGGATTATGAATGTCCAATTTACGGACAACTCATACTTATGAACGGACTGCCATAAAACCTACTGTATTGAAATTTTGAGTTAAATATGCACAGTGGTTTGTAATAATGAACACATGCACTCCTTGTGATACTCATGAAAACACTGCATGGTTTTATATGCACAGAAAAGTAAAATATATACTATTACCAAGACAGACATTTGAGTAACTGACATATGTACCTGTTCCAACTTACCTACAAATTTGACCTAAAGACAGACTTAGGAACGGATCTCATTCATAACCAGATACTGCCTGTATAACTTATGGGACCACAGACATATATGCAGTCGGATGTTGCCTGAATGGACATTATGTGGCACGTGACTGTACAGAGTGTTTCTTTCCAGGTAAAGGTGGCTTTGATCTACAGTTTATGACTGAGGTAATCTAGTCACATTGATCCTCACAGGGTGATAGGCAAGTGACACCTTGGGCAAATACTGAGATTGTCCATTGTTATTAGGCAAGGTTCAGTGGAGCAGCATAAAGATTAGAAATGAAATCTGAGCTCAGAAGTAGCTCACACATACTCCTCTTACCTGCTTTCTCTCTGCCTGCCTGCCAGATGGTCTATTCAACAGACTAACTGAAAGATAGGCCCAAAGGTCTAAACTCATAGGCTATTCTGGCATTGGATTTGGTAAACAAATCTTTAAGAAGTTTGCTTATATTTCTGGTAAGAGTGGGATCAACAGACTCAATGGAAAAGACCCTTTGTGGTTTAACTTTGGTTTTCCTGTCTGTCTCAACAAAATGTCACATGACTTTAAAAACCAGCTAGGGCATACTGATTTTTAGTAAAGTGTTGGAAAGAAAAAACTAGACTTTATTGCAAGGACTTCTCACCACTTAGAAGAGATTCCCTAACTTTTTGCTGTGCTTGGTTAAATCCATTCTGATTCTGATTATGCCCTGAGGAATGCTAGGTTTATGAGGTAAGGCTATCTTTTTCATTGTTTAGAACAGGAATTTGTGAGCTTTCAGTCTTATTTCAGTTGAGCCCTATTCCAAAATCCAGTCTTCTGCCTTCTATAGGTATGACAAAAATGTTCTCCTACAGCAGAAAATAATGATACTTTCTTCTTAAATTTTAAAAAATGAAAAATGGGTGGATGGGGGAGAACCTCGTGTAGGCAACTTACCATCACTCAGCAGTGTTTGACTCAAACTGAATTTTTTTCTAGATACACCCTTCCTAGCAGGCAATAATGACTTTAAGGCTCTTGGCGCTATGTGTGTTTGTCCTTTTGCTTGTTTAAGAGGCAGAAAATGGCTCTTTAAGCCAATATGATAATGTAATTGATATTCTCTAGGGGAACTACAATATCAGTACCCCAAATGATGCATACTGAAAAAGTAGAATTTGTTATCAGATTCTGCTCACTGAGACTGACAGACAACCCAAAAGCACATTGTCCTTGGTTATCATGGAACTGGTATGCTCTTTAAGAGTATTCTATATTTAAATTTCACTGCCTGAGGGTAGTCAGGTCCCAGTATTTTTTATTAAACTTTTACATCATTTCCTTAGCTCCTTAGGAATTCTTAACATAACTAAAATTCAAACATATGCCTACAGAAATTTTATTTTATTTTACCATTAGCTTTTCTGAATCTCATTCATATTCAGATATGAATTGTAATGTGATATTATTAGCCTCCAAGTAGTTCTGTCCTTTTCTTTTGAGCTACAAATGCTTTCTTTGGGCAGAAATTTTCCCCCATGGTGCACTTTCTCGCATTTTTCAAATATGTTAGCAACTGTTGTGCAAAAACTTAAATAAGGGGAAGAGAGTTGCCTTTTGTCTAAAAGGGAATACAAAGAAAAGCTGTGTAGGGCTTTAACACGTAGCTAACGAGTTTGAGACTGACCTTGCAAGTAGTTGAAGTTCCCTTTTGAGGGAATTTCAAGGATTCCTCATTATCTTCTGCAAATAAACTCTTGGGAATTCTTTGATCTCACAAAACTAATTGTGGGGAAATAGAAGGTACAAACCTCTATTATCTTAAGAAGGATGAAGAAAACATGGGGAAATTTTATTCTTGAAAATTTTCCAGTCACAGAATTTTCCCTTCAAGGAAACCACTTCTTGGGGAGCTGAAAGTATTTCAGGACATTTGGGCAAGGGTTTTTTGAGGATGTTCTAACATTCTCTGTGGGGATTCTATCCAAAACAATTTTTGAAGGAAAAAAACACCTTTTAGTTCATCAAGTATTTATTAAGTGCCCATTTTGAACCCATGATGACACCCTAATTCAGATATATTTATTGAGCAATTCTTGCCTTTGTGGAGCTCTGCTGGGGGGTGGAGAACACCTAAATCAGCTGTTTATTATACAGCGTGATGGGGACACTGCTGGAAAAGTGTCTCACCGGTCACTGAATGCCTTTGCATTAGAGGAAGAGCAGTTTTCTCTAAGGAAACTCAACCCAGAGGTAGCATCAAATGAGATAATGGCCTATGAAATGTATGTACATTTATGCATATCCTTACCTTGATGTTCAATGTTGTGCAAGCCAGACTATAAGAACTTGACTGCTAACCAGAAGACGGATGGTTCAAACCCACCAGCCACTCCTTGGAAGGAAGGTTGGGCAATCTACTTCCGTAGTGATACAGCCTCAGAAACCCAAAGAGGGGTCTACGTGAGTCGGATCCGACTTGACAGCAGTGAATCGAGATAATGCTAGACATTGTTCCATGAGATAGATATTGTTATTATCTTCATTTTACAGATTGTTGTTGTTGTTGTGTGCCGTCAAGTCGCCCCCCGACTCATAGCGACCCCTCCTTGGGTTTCCGAGGCAGTATCACTACGGAAGTAGATTAAGGAACAGATAAACAGGATCAGAAACATGCCCAGTATAAAACAGCTTGTAATGGGGTAGGGCCAGGACTGGAACCTAATAAGTGTGACTTCAAAGTCCTCACTCTTTATTTTTTGTTAGTTTACGCATAACTTAAATTTTACTCTTTTAACCATTTCCAGAGTCCTTACATTACTACATTACTTTGGAGGAGGCAGGGACCACTATGTGAATGAGAACTTTTAAAATATGAACATGACACCTTTAGCATGCAGTTGATATGTAGGTTTAAATTTTTAAGCAGCAGAGAGGAAATTTTAATTCTGGCTGAAAACTCCAGCATTACAAATGAGAATACTGAACTGTTAAATTAGCAGAAGCTTGTCTTGAACAGAGCCCTTTGCCGCTAGGATGCAAAAGGAGCACACCTTTACAGTTAACAAATAAGCATTTTGAGTTATTACTCTGTTTCAGAGAGCTTTCTTGAATGGTTAGAGTCTGCTTCCCAGTTCCCATGTTGTCTAGTGACAATACCTTAGTTCCTGATCACATTCTGCCCAGCAGCTGCTTTCCCCCACCTCCTATAATACAGCCCTCTTGCTTCAGTGTCTCATGAATCCTCTGCCTTACCTATTTCAGAGCCCTCACCTTGGAGCCCTTGCTCCAAGAAGTAGCCTTCATGCTTCACCTATCCAAGGTCCCTATGCCCTGTTTATCCTATTCCTTTCTGATTCCAGTGGACCCTGGGGCAGGGTGACCTTATTAAAAGACTGTATGAAATAAAGTTGTGTGTCATCTCTTCAGAGACTCCCACCCCCTTTTCTACTGGTACTTTGAAAAGGAATTTTCCTTGCTCTTACACTTCCCTTCACCTTCCCTAGAGAAAGAACAGGTTGGAGTAGTAACACGTGATCATTTCCAGGTGTGAGCAGCCAGTTACTATAGTGATTAGTAGTGCCAGTTCCCATCCCACCCCCACCTTGAGCATCTGACTGGTTGGATCTGGTTTCAATGTTCTGTGCCTGGCTTCCTGGGTAGAGGGTGGTAGGCCATAAAAATTGCTCATGCCCCTCCCTTCTGTGTCTTTTCAACTTTGGCTTTGTTATCTTCTTTAATGCATTTTTCACTCCCAGCTCTACTTCCCTTCCCTTCCCCTTATTCTCTGGAATCTTACAAGCAAGCAGCTGTAACTTTGTATGTCCTCTTTACCCAGCCCCCTCCCCCACCCCCTCAGAAGACTAGGAGAGAGCACCCTCTCCCTGTGGGGTTAGGCCTCGGTAGCTGCTGTAACCTGAGAAAAGAAGGAAAAAGGCCAGGCCTATTGAGCCAACAGTCCGCTCCCTGAGGCCTGCCAGAGGATAAGAGCCTTGCTCACTTAGCTCCCTCCCTCTTTTCTTTCCCCTCCCCTGCTGCAGCAGGGCCCTCCCCCATCCGCACACACGGGCTGCTGGGTAAGTGGCAAGATGGCTCCCCTGCATGTCTCCGGCTGATCGCTGCCTCTCCGCCAATACAATAGAGCCAGCCACTACCAGCAGCCTGGCCCTCTTCCTCCTCCTCCTCCAGAGAGACCAGTCCAGCCGAACTCGGGGTTTGCCGTGAGGACCTAACGCTTATCTCTTAAAAGCCAGATCTATTTTAGCCTCCCCTCAGCACCACCACCTCCTCCCCTTCCATTTACCATTTTTTTGGATTCCCCAGTTGCTGCATCTTAATTTTCTCTCTCTGGATCGGGTGGCTGGGGAGGAGGTGGTGGGATCTTGGAACAAGGAAGGTGTTTTTTGTGGTTTTTTTTTTTTTTTTTTTAGGATTTTTTTGTTTGGTTTTGTTATTTCTTCCATTCCAGAAAGGGATAAACAGCACTTCCAGGGGGAGAAAAAAATCATGTTATCAGAAAGCAAAGAAGGGTGAGAGCTTCACATTTCCACGTATTCCCTTTCCCCATCGCTCTAGTCCACCTCATCTTCCTTCTCTTCCCCATGACTTCCATTCCGCTTTTCGTTTTGATTTGTTTTCAGTCATTCTGCTTTCCCCCTTTGTCCTTCCTGCTCGATTTCTAATTGGCCCCACTTGCCCTCTCTGTGTAGGAAATAGGTAATTTGTGGATAAGCTTTTTCTGTAGATTTAGGCAGTTGAATCGCGTGTTTCTGTGGGGGCCTGTTAGCTGGGGGCACAGTTCCGATTTTCCCCTCCCCCCTTCTCATGCATCCCTCCCTGACTGCTCCAGGGAGGCTGTTCTGACCTCTGAGTGTCAGCCTGTCGGGAATGCTGGATTTTTTGGTGGTTATTTGCCTGGGAAGGCTTGGTTTCCCTTCTATTAAGGCTTGGCCCCCGGTCATCTTGATTTAATTTTCCCCCAGTATTTGGGTGGGGGTGTGTGTGAATGAGCTAGGAGTTAAGGGTGAAAACAGAAAAAAAACATGGGAAGATAGTTTATCTAAAGTAAATCTGGAACTCTGCCTGAAAGGGAAAGCTAACTTGTCTGATTAAGAGTGGGGATTGAGTGGGTTCTGTGTTTGGGGGGGGAAGATGTATGGTGTGGGGGAGGGTGTGTCCTGACTGGGAGGCCTGCTCTCTCTATTTCTTTGAAGTTGGTGTGAGGGAGTGGGAGAATCTGAATGAAAGCTGAAAGTAAGGAGGGCTTTTACATCTTTCAACTGAACTCCTAAAAGTGGCCTGATTAGTCTCTGAGATTTCAACTCGGTCAACAGTTTCAGTTTTTCTTTTTGGATGAGAGGAGGTGCATGTTGACTGGTGAACCTTTACCAGCCTTAACTTTTCTCCTTGCCACCCCCAATTTTCTTTATTCCTGGTGTCTCCAGATCATAGAGGTTAGCAGGAATTTACTTATTAAGCAGTTAATGAGATGCAAGGTTGGGATCATTTGCTACAGCCATGACCGTATTTTCTCATCTTTTTAGGGAATAGGTTTCCCTTAGTTTCTAATGCTGTTTTGTTATATAAAGTTACTTGTAGGCAGGGGGATAGGTTGTGGTCAAATCACAGTCACTTTTATGGAACAATTTTCAGAGTGGGATGTTTCTCTTCATATAAGAGTACTCTGGTGAGTTACCTCAGAACAGTTGGGAAGCCTGTCCCCCCACAGATAAACAGCTTTATCCCATCTGGGCAGTGGGTGGATGTGGTTTCTGTGATCCATGCTTTTTACCCAAGGAAAACGGTTTCTCACTTTCCCATAGGGGTTAGATTTTTAGTCTGATCTGAAAAGCTGCCCTCCAATCCCACCCAAGTGATTAGGCATGGGGGTTTCCTCACCTAAAAGCTAATGTCTTGTTCTCTCTTCCCCTTGGTTCTTTCTTGCCTTTTTCTCCAACCTCTTCTCATACTGTCAGTGAGGAGAAGGAGGAAGTGAACATGGACACAACTGAAAACAGACCTGAGAATGAGGTTCCAGAGGCCCCTATGCCTATTGCAGACCAAGTCAGCAATGATGACCGCCCTGAGGGCAGTGCTGAAGATGAGGAGAAGAAAGAGGTAAATATCCAAACCACTTGTTGGGGTGGGTGGGCAGGGGTGGACCTAGGGGAAAGAGTAGCCCATTCTGGTGATCCTTCTTACACAGTGGGATAAGTTAAAGGGAGTAGGCAGGGACTTGGATCAGGATTAGGCCAACGGAGAATTCGCTGGTTTAGCAAGGGACACCCGTTGTGATGTGGACAGGGCTCATTCATTCATTCATTCTTTCATTTTTGGTGGGGGTAGTGCAGTCCAGATTCCTGGAATTTTGTAACTAATTGGAAAGTCAGTTAATGGCTGTTTATCAAAGACCTAGGCTCAGTTTTTCCAGCTCTCTCCTCAAGCTTCCTAGGGTGTTAGCCTCCTGTAGCTGTCCCTCCTTTTTAAAAGCCTAGTGGAGCTAAGCGCCACCTAGTGGATTTTGGTGGTTCTCACCAGATTAGCCATGTTGAGGAATTTTTGTTCATTTGCCCCCTAGTGGTTTCTTTGCAGACATATATCTACTTAGAAGCCAGGATCTGGGATGAACCAGAAAGCCCTTTCTCAGTATCTGTGATCCCTCTACCTTCTTTTTGGCATATATATTATATTGTCCCCTCCACTCCATTCAGGGTGTTCCCCCCATCAGAGCCAGCAAAGTCGTCTTGGCTCTTAGAGAATTAGAGAAAGAATTAGCTGGGTTTGGGAGTGGGGTGATGGGTGGGAGGGACTGTTGTGTGTGTAGCCTCTCTGGTGTGTGTTGCGGGGGTTGGGGGCCGGTGAAAGTGATTTGATGTGCAGAATATTATTTATTACAAGGTCCTTCTTCCCCGTAAAACTTTGTCCAAGTACCTCATGTACGGTAATCCGCCCGTAAAATATAACCCTGCCCAACTGGCCAATCGCTGATGCCGCCTCTTCCTCTGGACCCACCCGCTGCTACTGAGCTGCCCAATCAGAGCCGAGTCTGCTATCCAGGTGTCTTGGCCAGAGAGGGGGCACGTATATGGGCTCCTGGCCTCCCTTTTGCCTCCCTGTCTTGCTTACATCAGGGGGCCAAGAAGAGCACTGTTCTGGAGAGACTTGTATTGAGAAAGCAGAAAGCATTTGGAATGGGGTGGACTTGCATCATCTCCCTACTTGGGACACCCCAAGAAGAGCTTGTATCAGTGCTGGGGCGCCTGCCCACATGCCCTTGCCTGTTTGAGGACTGTGGGTTGCCTTGTTTGCTACAGACTGTTGGGATCCCCATCTAGGGCACCAAGACCTAAAGAGTCAATGTTTGTCATCACAGTGTCATGCTGTAAAATAACCGAGTGGGGCCCTCGACTAAGCTGTGACGACTAGGAACCCTGCAGAAGAGTCTAGGGTCTGAGCCCCAGGGATTTAATGCTGATGACAGCCCATCTCGTGTATCACCACTTGCTCATCAGATGGACTTCCCTCTGGTCCCTGTTGTACATGGTGAAGGGCCGCATGTTGGTTGCTCCAACTTCTCCATCCCTGGAGGCAGGGGTTCATCCTTCCACCTGACTGGAACCGCTGTCTCAGCTGGAGTCCTTGAGCAGATACCACACGCAACTCTCAGAAGAAAAGTATTCTGACCTTGCAGCTGATCATGTGCCAGGTCCTGGGGATACCCACCTTGTACCCCAGGCTACCTTCATCAGAGGCTCCATGATCCCACTCGGTGAGAGGACCCCCTCCCCAGTTACAGGCAGAGGAGAAAGGGACTCTGGAGTCATCACCTGGATTCCAAATATTGGGTGGTGGTATTGCTGCAGTATGCTACTGGTGGACATACGGTCCTGCCTGCCTCTCACGATAAAAGGCAAGGATCATTCCTGCTACTCACAGGCCATCTCATCAGGGACTGCAAGATGATGCCCCTCCAGGGCTGGGACTGATATTTCTCCCCTTTTCCCCCTCTACCCCTGGCTGAGCCTGGCCACCACCAGTGAACTGTCTTGACATCATGGAAACTGGGCAGCGTCCCCCCACACGTTTCCCTCCCGCCCCCCCTGCGCCCCTGGGAGGACTCTGGCAATGCCGAGCTGACTACCACGCCGTGCGCCCACCTTTTTTGCCAACCCAACCCCCCACCAATTGCACAGCGCCTAGCAGGGAGGGCTCATTCTGATTGGACCGTCGGTTGACTAGATACAGTACACAGTGAGGTGCGATTGGCTGAACTGAAGATCCCAGGTGTGAGATGGTACCTGGAACATTTGTCATATTCCTAGTTTATTTTCTTCTTTATTTTCTTCTTCTTCTTTTTTTTTTTTCCCCCCCTTTTATATCTTTAACTTTTTTCTTTATTTTCCTGATTTGTTTATTGGATTTATTTATTTATTTATTTATTTATTTGGTTCATGTTTTTCCTGTTTTAATTAAGATCTTTTTTTTCTTCTCACTAACTTACCCATCAAGAGCGGCCCAGCTAGGGGTCAGGCTGGCCCTTAATGGAGACCAAGGAGACTTGGTTAGACAACACAAACGGGGCTGGGGGTGGATGGGAATAAATGGATTTCATCAAGAGGATCCTACCCTACCCTTTAGAAGGATAGTAGGGTGGTCTTAGTTTTTCCAGAAATAAGCACTTAAATCTAAAAGTTTTCTATCCACCTTTTCTTTCCTTCTCCCACTTTTTGCTCTGTCCATAGTCTTTCTCCCACTGAGTGTTTTGGGCAGATACTTGCCCCAAAACTGCTTCTGGTCCTTGGCAGAGCCCCTAAAGCATCAGCCCTGATTGGTGAGGAAACAGACTCTGCTAAGAACCACGTAAAGTGGTTGGAATGTCTGAGAATCTCCCTGAGGACAGTATGCCCTTAATAAAAACCTTCCTTTACTAAAGATCCTTTCAAATTCTCTTGTTGGCACTTGGCTCATGAGCCTTATCTCCAGTGAGTCTGGTGTTGCCCTTTTCCACAGTGTGGTGAACATCTGGGCAGTCTTGACAATCAACTGTCCAAGTGACTCGATGCCACTGTCAGAGGAAGTCAGGCTGGACATGAGAAAAGGAGAAGGACTGCCTTGTTAAAGTTGCCATCCCAAAGTTGGTTTCCCTTATATCCTTGTGTTTTCCTCAAGTTAACAAGGCAGGACCCAGGAGGACTAGATACTTAATTCTGGGCACAGCTTATTGGGCTTGTTGTCCTTTCAACACAGACGAGAAGAGGGCATGAACAACATCTTGGAAGAGCTAGAAGGCTACCTAATTTTTATGCCAGCTTATTTCTGGTTAAGCTAATACATAGGTGTGATATGGACTAGGTCACTTTTCCCTGCTGTGATGTTTAGTTTTATTTTTTTTCTCTAACTTGCATTGATTCTGCTTTGTTTTTGCCGTTTGCCGCTTCTGTTTTGGTCTCTGTCTGTCTCTGTGTCTCTCTCTATGTGTCTTTGAAGCCTATGCTAAGACTGCCATCTAACCTCCTCCCCCCCCTCTCTGTGGGGTGTGTCTCTTTCTCTTTTTTCCCCTTTTCTTCTCTATACAGAGCTCGCTGCCCAAATCATTCAAGAGGAAGATCTCCGTTGTCTGTAAGTCTGCCCCAAATCCCTGATAAAGGTCAGAATACCATAAAAATCTGAGTTCATAGGAAACTAGATTCCCATTTTCTTTACTGTCTTTCTGTTGGCCTCTCCCATCCTGCTCCCTCCCCCAATGAATCTGCATTTTCTTGGCATATGCAGGATTCCATTTTGAAATTCAAAACTGTAGATAATCCTATATCCTCAGTCATGTTCCTTTCTTACCACCAATGAGATATACTGTGAGTTGTCAACAGTGTGTCCTAGATGCATTTATCTTTTTTAGATACCTGAATACTCAAAACTAGGAGTGGGTTTGAGGAACTCCTTTATAATGGTGAAGATTACCAATATACATTTTATTCTATAAGAGCATTTGAGAAAACGAAAGTGTCCCGTACCTTGAACAGTAACTTTGTGTGTGTGTGTGATTTGGTGAAAGTTTACAGAGCAAGTTCATTTTCCACAAAGCAGTTCACATACACTTTGTCTCATGACATTGACTGTAGTTTCCCACACTGCAACAGCTCTCTTCCTACTTCCTGTCCACAGTTACTTCCTCCCTGTGTCCTTCCCTCACGTGTACTCCTGCCCCCCAAGCTGTCTCCCTGGGCACACACAGTCCTTCTATTCTCCCATGATTGATCTCTCCAAGGAGTTTATCTACCTAATGTAAATGTTCAGTTCATTGCAAACAGTAACATTTTTTAAACATTTTCCCAACAGAATTTTAGATTGACAAAAGTATAACAAGATTATAATTTAAATATCGATCTATGAAAATTATCCTAAAGGATGCCCATATCACAATCATCTTCAATTAATTTTAATTAGATTTTAGTAATCCCTTAATCATCTTGTTTCTTCTGATTCCTGTTTTTCTATTCTGCTACATTACGTATGTATACCTACGTAAAACCACTAAAAGTTTAAACTGCTTAATCAAACTAGTTACCGCTCCCTTGTCCTGATGAATAGATGAGTTGTTTCTACCTGTCAAGAAGTACCTCCAGTCCTTTTATTGTTTACTCTGAAGCCATGATTTCCCCGGTCCCCAAACATGATTTCCTTAACCTTTTACTAAAACTCCAGCCGCAGGCTGCCTAGTGGGTGTTGTGGTGTGAACCAGCAGAGGGCCCGAGGCTGTCTAACTGTTGGGTCCTATTTCTTGGGGACAGCAGCTACCAAGGGGGTGCCAGCTGGAAACAGTGACACAGAGGGGGGCCAGCCTGGTCGGAAACGACGTTGGGGCGCCAGCACAGCCACCACACAGAAGAAACCTTCCATCAGTATCACCACTGAATCACTCAAGGTGAGGTGGGAGGAGCCAGGGAAGGGAGGATGAGACACATTAAGGTGGGAGTAGACATGGGCCCAGTGTAACGGGGTGGGGGGTATCTGTGTCCCAGAGCCTCATCCCCGACATCAAACCCCTGGTGGGGCAGGAGGCTGTTGTGGATCTTCATGCTGATGACTCCCGCATCTCTGAGGATGAGACTGAGCGTAATGGTGATGATGGGACCCATGACAAGGGGCTGAAGATATGCCGAACAGTCACTCAGGTAAGGCTTCTGTATCCCATGTAGGGGGGAGGGATCAGTGGACATGGATCAGGCAACTGAGGAGCTAGGATAGAGTCTTAAAAGGGAGATCTCCCTGTACAGAGGGTTTGGTTAATTGGCACTTTGATTTTAATGCCTCTTGTCCCTTAGTTCAGGCAGCAGTAAACTACCAAGTCTAGCCTGCTGCTTGTTGTAAGTAAAATTTTACTGGAACACAGCCACGCCAATTTCTTTATCCTTGTCTATGGCTGTTTTTGTACTATACTGTCATAGTTGAGTAGTTGCAACAGAGACTATATGGCTCATAAAGCCTGAAATGTTTACTGTCTTGCGCTTCACAGAAAAAGTTTGTGGACTCTTGTCTTAGTTACCTTCATAGCAAAGTTGGCACACTAACAATCCCAGTATCTGGTGGAGATGAACTTAATAAAGTATCTCCCCAGTGGAAGGAATATCCTAGATTGATTCCCTCACCAGGGAACCAGAAGCCAAGAATATGCCAACTTGTTTACACAAAACAACCTCCTGTATTGTCTGATACCTTTAAAGGTAGTACCAGCAGAGGGCCAGGAGAATGGACAGAGGGAAGAAGAGGAAGAAGAGAAGGAGCCTGAAGCAGAACTCCCTGTAGCTCCCCAAGTTTCAGTAGAGGTGGCCTTACCTCCACCTGTGGAGCATGAAGTAAAGAAAGGTGAGTGACACGTGCAAATGTGACATAATGCAACTCCCTGAATTTGCAGAGCACTTTATTTGGGTCTCCTTTAAGTCTTTTAAGATTTTCTGCTGTGTTTTATGTATCTATCTTACCTCCCTCTCCTGTTAAGCTGCTTAGGGGGTAGGTTTGAATCTGTTTAGTCTTTGAGTCTCCATAGTGAGCCTAGCCGTGCACAGTATCTTGCACATAATGGGTGCTCACTACATTCAGACAGAAAAATGACTTGAGGGAATAAAAGAAAAAATGAGAAATGGAAGCCAGCATTACTTCCTACTAAAAGCCATTTGTATTTTATTTTGCTAGTGACTTTAGGAGATACCCTAACTCGACGTTCCATTAGCCAGCAGAAGTCTGGAGTTTCCATTACAATTGATGATCCTGTCAGAATTGCTCAGGTGCCCTCCCCACCCCGGGGCAAGATCAGTAATATAGTCCACATCTCCAATTTGGTAAGTCATGGTTTCCTACAGTCCTGCCTTGTTTAGGGTTAATAGTTTCAGCTTTGTACTCCTGCTTCCTAGGTTCTGCTGCTAAACCTGCCAGTTACTCATCCACTGACCTTGAGCAAGTTACTTAATCTTTCAACTTGCTTCCTCATCTGAAAAATAGGAATAAAACAGTATTATTTTCTAGGGTTCTTTTGAGGATTTCATATATGTAGAGCATTTAGCAGAGGGCCTAGCACATAATGTCTCAGTAAATGTTATCACTCTTCTCATGCTCCTACAAGAGGGTTTGTAACTTCTGCTCTCACCCACATCCCTTAACCCCTTGAAGCTGTACTCTGGTGACAGCAGCTTGGGAAATTTTAAGACTATGTACTTGAGTATTGTTCTTGCCTTATTTGAGTCCCTAAAAGTCATTTTCATTGGCAGGTTCGTCCCTTCACTTTAGGCCAATTAAAGGAATTACTGGGACGTACAGGAACCCTGGTGGAAGAGGCCTTCTGGATTGACAAGATTAAATCTCACTGCTTTGTAACGGTGAGGAGAAAAAAACTGATTCTATAGGTTATGGCATACATTTCTTTTTGTGCCCAGTGTGGCACATACAAGGGCATTCTGGCAAATGGGAGGAGTTGGAGCTATATTGTGATCTTCTGCCTTCTGCCTTCCTCCACCAGTACTCAACAGTAGAGGAAGCTGTTGCCACCCGCACAGCTCTGCATGGGGTCAAATGGCCCCAGTCCAATCCCAAATTCCTCTGTGCTGACTATGCTGAACAAGATGAGGTGAGAAACCTAGGGAAAGGAAGGAGGAGGAGGGGTAGGGGAAGCCATTACCTGCTGGATTCCAGCTGAGATCCTGACTAATCCTGCAGTCACTGAGATTTTGTTGTTCTTCTCCCTCTGCTTTGGTTCCGTTAGTTGAGCCATGAGACTTCAAAAGTCTCTGTACCTCTGCTACTGGGCTCCTTCAGTGGGAGTGATAAAATCTCCATCCTGACTGTCCTTGTCCCTCCTCTACCCACAGCTGGACTATCACCGGGGCCTCTTGGTGGACCGTCCCTCTGAAACTAAGGCAGAGGAGCAAGGGGTCCCACGACCCCTGCACCCCCCGCCCCCACCCCCAGCCCAGCCACCACAGCATCCCCGGGCAGAGCAGCGGGAGCAGGAGCGGGCGGTACGGGAACAGTGGGCAGAGAGGGAACGGGAAATGGAGCGGCGGGAGCGGACCAGATCAGAGCGTGAATGGGATCGGGACAAAGTTCGAGAAGGGCCCCGTTCCCGATCACGGTCCCGTGACCGGCGCCGCAAGGAACGTGCGAAGTCTAAAGAAAAGAAGAGTGAGAAGAAAGGTACTTAGCAACATGTGCCCCAGTAGCAAGTGGGAAAGGGACCCAATGGGATGGGACACAGAGCCATATGCTTCAAATCTGATTTAATTTATTCCACCCCAGAAAAGGCTCAGGAGGAACCACCAGCCAAGCTGCTGGATGACCTTTTCCGCAAAACCAAGGCAGCCCCTTGCATCTATTGGCTCCCACTGACAGACAGCCAGGTAAGTGTTGCCCTTCCTGACCTGCTCAAAGTTGCATCGATGCATGGGGTCAGTGCAAGGGGGTGGAACTGAGCATAACACAAGGTATGCCATAGGAAAACCAAATGCAGAAAGTTCATATAAAGACAGGAACTGAGGTTTTTGTGCCAGCCAAGCTACTTGGAGCTTAATTTTAGTTAGCTGAGAAATCTGCATTTTATAAACTCATCCATTTTTCTCCGATGAGCCTTTGGGAGTTTTAGGCTTATATACCGAACTAAAGAGAAAAGATATGTTCATATTTAGGGTACAGGTAACTAGGGAAGTGACAGAGTCCTGTCACAAATGGTACAGCACCTTTTCTACAAAAGTTGGAGACTTGGAAGGAGAAGAATGCTGAGATAGGGAAAGACATGATTGCTAGAAACCCCCACTTCCCCATTCTTGCTTTAGTTTTATTTTTTTCATATGGAGACAGAAGAAAAGCTGACGGTGACCCTGAGCTAGGAATGCAAGTATCCAGATGGACAGTGCAGGACTAATGTGGGCAGGGCTAAGATGCCTGTTCTCTGCCTTTCCTGCCTGGTTATAGATTGTTCAGAAGGAAGCAGAGCGGGCTGAGCGAGCCAAGGAGCGGGAGAAGCGGCGAAAGGAGCAAGAAGAAGAAGAGCAAAAGGAACGGGAGAAGGAAGCTGAGAGGGAACGGAACCGACAGCTGGAGCGGGAGAAACGTCGAGAGCACAGCCGGGAGAGGGACAGGGAGAGAGAGAGGGAAAGGGAACGAGACAGGGGTGATCGAGATAGGGAAAGGGACCGGGAACGAGGCAGGGAGAGGGATCGAAGAGACACCAAGCGCCACAGCAGGAGTCGGAGTCGAAGCACACCTGTGAGGGACCGGGGTGGGCGCCGTTAGCTGGGAAAAGACTAGAGAGAGCTGTGGACATCAGCCACCCTGCCCCAGGGGGTAAAAGCCACAGAGGGATAGGTACAATCACCACCACCCTGGAACCAAGGGTCTTTCACACGCATTTGCCCAGTGCTGAAGTATGGCTGCCACCTGTCCCCATGGAGCAGTGGCCACCACCACCTCCTACACCCTAACCTATCTTGGGACTTAGTCCTTTTCTCTCTTGTTTAGCATTGTTGAGTCTTTGAGAGGGAAGGGCTAGGGAGGGAGGTGATTGGCCCAGAGGTGAGGAATAGCCAGGTACCCTCAAGCCTCTTGTGGTTTTCTCCATCTTGCTCCCTTGGGTACTCAACACCCTCCTTTTGGGAACAGCCGGGGCCAGGACTGGGTCACCTATGAGCTGAATCAGCATCTCTTCCTGAGTCCCGGGGCCCCTGCAGTTCCCAGTCTCTCTTGTCCTGTAGCCCCTGCCTCTTACCACCAAGCCCACCGGTTCCACTTTATATCCACCTTTTCCTTTTGTTCATTTTTTATTTTTATTTTTTTTTTATTATTATTAAATGATGTGGTCTATGGAAAATAATAAAAAATCTGACTTAGTTTTAACTAGTGTGTGAATGCTTCATTGGGCAGGACCCATTAAGAGCCAAATAGGATAGCCTTAGCATGGAATGCATTGCTTGCATTCCATACGCCCTACTTAGGCTGGTTCCTGGAGCAGACTACCTGCCGCCCTCCATTCTTGCCCTGGCTCTAAGCAGAACAAAGCTGTGGGTCTTTCTTACCGGAGGATGGAAAGGAAGAACCCATTCCCAAGCAAGTGAAGCGTCCTAGCTGTTTCTGGCAGTAGTTGTAGGAGAGCAAAGAAAGCTCCGTTTCTGGGTTCCCAGTCTTCTCCGCGATTAGGCATCTAGTCACCTGCAAGCCTCCGAGGCGCTTCCCATAGCTGCCGCCAGGGGGCGGCAGCCCCTCGCCCAGTAGGCTCCTGTAACAGAGCTTCCGAAAAGGCTCTGCTCCCCAGCTCTGTTCCTCCTGCCAATGTCGCGCCTCCGTTTCTGGGCTGACAGTAGCCCTTGGACTCCCAGGTCCCTTCTGCTGTCCTTCAACGCACCCCAGCCAACCTGCTACTGTGCCCTCCACGGGCTTCCAAAACGACGACGACGCCTTGGCGGCCTGGGTACACGCCAGACCCATAGCCAGTCCGGGAGCGGCCGCCGGGCCTCTCTGCAGTGGGTTAATTTCTCGACTCGCAGCGCGCTCGCCCTTTGCCCCCTGGCGTGCAGATCTCTTTACGTACCTGGGAGCACCCTCCCAGCCAGTTCAGAAATGGCCTGGGGCCGTGGCCCGGGCCTCCTCCCTCCTGAGTGCTCTTCCGGGTGCTGCGGGCCTGGCCCGGGAGGGGCGCAGCATCTGTATGCGCCCGGGAGCGCCGAGGGGCGGACGCAAGGCACCGCCCCCGCCCCCGCCGCGCGGGCCGGGCTAGCCAGGGAGGGTCGGAGGCTGGGCTCCCCTCTCCCGCGCAGCACGGAGCTTCCTCGCTCCTCCGCAGGCGGAGCCTCCTTCCCCCGCCCCCTCCGTCTCGCTCTCTTGTTCTCGCCGGGGCCGGTCAGACCTGCAGCGGAGCCGCGGCGCCCGCTTGGATCAGCTCAGGGCTGCGCCCCCGGGACCCAGCAGCGGGCACGGGCCGGGGCGCGCCCCGCCAGGCTAGGCCCTCGGCACTACCAGGTAAGGGCGCCTGCCCAAGAGCCCGGAGCCGGGAACCGCGGAGCAGCAGTAGGGGGCCCGCAGCCTGCGGGCGTCTTCAGAGCGGTGCGCTCTGTGGCTGGGAGCCCACTGCCGGTTCCCTTCTCCCGCGCTCTCTTTCCCTTCTTCCCTCGCACCTCTCTCCCTTTTCCCATTCTCTTCAACCTCGATTTCTCTTTAGCCTTCCTTCTCTCTGCTGATTTGTCTTCTCTGCCCCTTGCCTCTGCATCCCTATCCCTTCTCTCTCCCTCTTGCCCTTTTTCCATCTTCTCTCTGCTTTTTTCTTTCTCTCCTTTCCTGTCTTTCTCCTTTTCCTCTCTCGCTCTCCTTTTCCCTGTTCCCTCCTTCTCGCCTCTCCTCCCTTCCTTTCCCGCTATCCAGTTTCTCACTCCTCTATCCTCCTTCCTTCTCTCCCACTCGTCGCGCCTCCCTCTTAGCTTCCCTCTTCCCCCGAGAGGGAACGGACTGTCAGGTGTGTGTCTGCTCTGGGGGAGGAGGAGGGGCGGCAGAGGCAGCTACCTGAGGGGTCCCCGCTAGGAGGAGCGGGAGGAAAGAGCAGTGGGAAGGGTCCTCTCTTGGCTTCCTTCCCGCAGCCTCTCCCAATCTCAGCCCCTCCTAGCTGCTCCTTCTCCCAGAATTAAGTTCCTGG